AGTCCTGGGATAAAAAGTCACCTTCCCCAGAGATAAGAATTTTACTTCATGTGAATGATGGGTCCAGGAAAGTATCCAGTGTTCAATATTCATTCCCAGGGGCAGCCAGCCAATCACACCCATGCATACTTGTCTCTCTGTCAGATTCTCCAGTCTCTTTGCTGTTTCCAAAATTTTTGGCCTGCTTATATGACAATAGAAACCATAATACAGAAAACAAAATAATAATAGTTAGGAATTATTGTTAGTAACTATGAACTTCAAAATCTAATAAACACAGTCACCCTGAATGGCAGCCTTATTAGGCAGACATAAGATGGCCTATCAGTATGGAGAACTAATACATAACTGGAAAGGCAATAAACTGGTTCTGATTCCACTGAGGTTGTCGTCACCCTCTTGTGGATATTAAGAGTTATCACAACCACTTAGTGGCATAGACTTTTCCAAACTTTGAATTAATCATTTAAACTTGATACAGAAACTACCATTTTGAGACAGTGATAAACAGCAGCATATTTCATTTTATTATATTAAATAAATATAAATCATTTGAGGTAGTCTGCCATCTTATTCAGAGAAGGAATATAAAGCATTTAAGAAGGAAAGGACAGGAACCACAGACCAGGGAATTCCTCTAAGGTGAGCTCTGCTCCATAAGGAACTCTGCATTAGGTATTTAAAGTTAACTTTTATTAATGAAACTCATTTTATTTCTGATTATACTTAATACAGAGCATGAAAATATTTTAAATGTGCTCCAATCTTTTAACCCGGCACCGGGCACCGAATCATTAGGTGCCTGCATATTCCTCTGTTTCTAAACCAAAGGGATAAATTCGCCTACTCTACCTCCATTTATACTTCAATTTGGGTGAAGCCTAGCTTTTCAGTTTTAAACCGGAATGGCAAAACTCAGTTCTAATGCTGAGATTTTCAAGTTAGACTATATCCTAGTGACAGTTAAAATATAAGTTGTTTGTAATTTAAAATTAGGTTATTATCAAGTTTCATTTCTCACATCAGTGTTTAAACTACTCTGAAACTCCATCACTGTGGTTGTCAAACTCATTTAATAACCAGCTCACGATGCACTCAAGTTTTATATCAATTAAATGCAAACAAAACCCAAAGAATTTTCTGTTTTGTGAATGTTCCTCATCTATAGGCAGCAATAGCATGCAAAAGCACTTTCTCTCCATATAGAATTCTTCCAAAAGAAAAAATATCCAAGTATGAACACAAATAGTCAAAAATATTAAATTGTATTTGAAGTCCAACTTTCTTACTTCTTGCTGAAGTGTATTGGCAGTGTACTTGGTTTTGTGGTGGGAAAGACAAAGAAACAGGGAAGAGACAGGAACAAACACAAATGAGACTATCAGAGGAAACAAGGCAGCACTGACGTCAGAAAAGCGCGAACTGCTATGGAATTTCACATGCACTGGGTTCAAATGCATTCTAAGGCAGTCATAATTGACTTCTGTGTGGAGTGTTGTATTCATGTGTATGTGTCATTGTACACAGGTGTATCTGCATACATATGTGCCTGCTTGTGGAAGCCAGGCATTGATGACATCATACTGCTCTCCACCTTAAGGGGGCAGCGTCTCAGAATGATCTAGAGCAGCGGTTCTCAATCTTCTCAATGCTATGATCATACCTCATACTATGGTGACCCCAACCATAAAATTATTTTCGTCGCAACTTCATAATTGTAATTTTGTTACTGTGATGACTTGTAATGTAAATATCTGTGTTTGCTGATGGTCTTAGGCGACCTTTGTGAAAGAGTCACTTGACCCCTGGGTCAAGAGCCACTGAGTTAGAGCCACTGTTGCTGAGCAGATGGCCGGTGAAGCTTCAAGATCCCCTTGCTAGGGTTAAGGCATGTACCACTATGCTTGGCTCTTTTTTTGCAGCTGTTGGAATCTGAACTCAAGTCTTCATGCTTACACAGGAAGCATTTTACCTACCAAACCATCTCCCCAGCCTCATAATTGATTATTAAGTAAATGGATAACTCTTAGTTATTTTGTTCCATTCTTGACCTGATTCATGAGTTCCAAAGTACTAACCTGAAGACTCAAATTTGTTACAGGTTCTTGGGTGCTGCTAGTATTGCAGGTATGGGAACCACATTTTAAGAGTCAGTTGTATATATTTTACTTGTACAGTGTAACTTTCTAGATGAATGGCCATTAATGTTTATTTGAGATACTCTTGGCCAGAACTAGAAAATTCCAAAAGGGCAGGAAGATTTGCTTCCTCATTATATATTCAATATTTTCAGTTAAATACTTGCTAATACTTTCTGTGACAAGGACTGTAAGTTGCCTATGGTAACTGATTTGGTACCTCAGATGAACTCTGTCTTGCTGAGTGTCAGTACCTGGAAGGTGGAGCCTAAGAAAAACAATTGTGTGAAGAAAAACAACTCAAGGGTACTAGATCTTTGCAATGGTCAGCCCAACCTTACTATTTTTGCTAATTGTACATTTCAGCTTTTGTGACTATCTTCTTAGATTGCAGCTTCGAGAAGGAAACCCTGAGGACTTGTCTTGTTAGGGTTTTATTGCTGTAATAAGACATCATAGCCATGGTAACTCTGATAAAGGAAAACATTTAATTAAGGGTGGCTTACACTTTCAGAGTCCATTATTTGTCATGGTGGGAGCATAGTAGCATTCAGGTGGACATGATGTTGGAGAAGCAGTTGCCTATGTATGGATGGGCAGGCAGCAGGAAGAAAATGCCACACTGAGCTTGGCTTAAGCATTGGAGACCTTAAAGTCTGTCCCTGACTTTTTCTCCTACACATTTTCTCCTACAAAGTCACACCCACTTCAGCAAGGCTCACTCCCTGTGGGCCTATGGGGGGTTCTTTCAAACTTTCCAGCCAAGATGTGGTTTTCTTGCTTAAATATGGGCAGGATTGCATGTAGGTCTCAAATACTTAGGCCTAGTCACCAGCAGACTGGAATAAAGACTTACAATAGACCAAGTCTGAGTGGTCTTCTTTGAGGGGAGCCCCACAACATTTTGAATGGAATTTTTGTGCATGTTTCCTTTCATTTAAAACTTTCTGTTTGCTTATTTCCCAGTGATAACACATCATCCAAAGCTTTCAAGTCTAAAATTGCATTTCAGAGACTACTGTGCAGGATATTGGCTCAGGTTGTAGTCCTCGATGTGGCTAGAACCAGCTGTCACTTCACTCAGTTGAACAGCACTGTTATTATCAAGTAGCCAAAGTTTGATTAAGCAATAAGTGGAAAAGGATAGTAAGGTAGGATGTCTACCCTGAAGTATTTGACTTCAGTGTAAGAGGCCACTTACATACATGTTTCACTTATTAGTATTTGGGGGGAACCCTTACTAAGAAATAACTGTATCACTCACAAGCATGTGCTTTGTTCATTAAACTAAGATTATCTTAGTTAAGATGTATAAATTCATATGGCAGTGATAAATGCAAAAAACAACAGTTTCAGCCAAAGTTTACTTCTTTGCTAACAGTATCTATCTTTAGAACTCAGCAAAAAATTACTAATTTTCCCACAATATCAAATGCCATAATTTAAGTAACAAGCCTCAAATAGTTTGATATTCAATAACGATGGAATTCATCACCTTATTGATGACTGTTTTTAAAAATCAACATCTATAAATAAATTATCCAGTTTCTAATAATAGATCTAAGGAGATACAATGTACCTCATTAAAATGCCAGTACTATTTTAATGGGATGTCTTGATTTAGGGGTAGAATTTAGGAAAATGTTTAGAGTTTACCAAAATATGTTACTTATCAGCTGGTCTAGGCACAGACTGGTAGATCTCTGAGTTGGAGGCCAATGTGGTCTACAGAAAGAGTTCTAGGATAGCCAGGACTATATACACTGTCTCAAAACACAAACAAACAAATAATGTTACTTATTATCTAGGGATCTTGAGTGGGTTCATTTTCTCTGACAGTTAAAAGATTTAAAAGGCAGAGAAATCTTAGACAACAGAAAGCAGAAAGCCAGCAAAGAGATTCAGCACATAAAGAAAAGGTTATTATGGTTAAGGAAACACACACACACACACACACACACACACACACACACACACACACACACACACACGACACACAAAGAGAAGGACCCTTAATGTGTGGTACTATGGAATATTTCTGTGTGTGGTCTCAAAATGGTATAAACATGTATAAAATTGTAGGCAAGGAAGGCTTCACATATTCCCTTTGTTCTGAGATTGGGGTTGAGACTGAAGATTGAGAAGGTACTTGAAGAGAGTGGAAGATAAAGTATATTTTGAGGGTGTTTTGTAGGAAACGATTTCTGCTAATCTCAAATTGCTTTTGGCAGCCACAGGTCACAAAGCCACTGAAATTTGTTTTTAAATTGTAAACCTCGGAATTGTCATTTCGGTTCTTCCTTTAAGTCATAGCTACTTCAATCAATTTATGGAAAGTTTCTCAAAACTGGTTGCACTACTATTTCTTCTCTACTATTAGAAATAATTGGAATTAAATTATTTGTCAATCAGAAAGCGTCAATCTTCACTACTCGCCAGGGACGACAGGATGACATAGGTTGTAAGGGAGGTTCTACCAATTCACCTCATTGGCCATGGGGGATATTGCCAAAATGCAGTTTGGGAGCTTGGGAAGCTGGGGACTCTCATCGCCTTCTTCGGATCAACAGAGGGCGCAAGAACCCCTTCTTTCCAGCGCCTCCGGCCAGCGTTCCCGCGCCGAGCCTAGGCCCGCCCCCCTCAGGCTCGGGCCACTCTGAGAACTCGAAGAGAGTGATTGACAGTACAACCGTCCGGTGCGCTGCCTAAAACGCTTCACTCCGGAAACAGTGGCCTCCTTATGCTTCCGGAAGTCCAACGCTCTCCCAGCATCCCTTGCGTGCCGGCCCTGCCGTACTTCTGGCCGCTCCAGGCCTTGCGCGCTGGTTTTTGAGCGCGCTCCTGCACGGTGCTGGGTCCGGGACGCGGCTGTGCGACATGGCACAGCTTGAGGGCTACTACTTCTCCGCAGCCTTGAGCTGTACCTTCCTGGTGTCCTGCCTGCTCTTCTCCGCCTTCAGCCGTGCCCTGCGCGAGCCCTACATGGACGAGATCTTCCACCTGCCGCAGGCGCAGCGCTACTGTGAGGGCCGCTTCTCCCTGTCGCAGGTTGGTCCCTGCTGGCCCAGCCCCGGGACGGACACCTCCCAACCTGTGTGTGTCCTTACCTTTCATTCCCTGTCTGCTCTCCCAGATTCAAAACTTGAAAAGAGTTGGGTAATGGCTGACTGTACCTCGCCTGGAGATCTATGCCATAGTCGTTAGGTGATGGCGAGAAAGGACACCAAATTAGAGCTCCTCTTGGCAACTGACCTTCCTAAGTCCCAGGACTAGAGGCACGCAGGTGTCCCCTGGAAATGCAGGAAAAAGCAAACAAGCAAACAAAACACCTAGATCTTAACAATGAGATATTCCACTCAGTATTTTGGACGTGGAATGGAGGCTCTTAGGCCACCAAAAAGTGATAGTTTCATTCTAACTTCATCCTTGCATGTTTTTAGAAGCTTACTGTTGTCTGGATATATTGGCAATTAGTCAGGTTGCATCATTTTAAAAATATGTGTTCAATTACATAAATATACATAATACAAAGATAAGCATACCATCTCTTCCTTCATGAACACAGTATGGGTTACTGCTTCAAATTATAAAATCTGTTGAAGAAAACCCTGATTTTTTTTTTTTTTTCTTTTTTTGGTGCTGTTACTCAGAGCCTTTGCCATTTTAAGGATCAGTAACTTGTAAAATAATAGTAAATGCAGTCTCTAATACAAGCTGTATTGCAAGATGTAAAACAGGGCTAAGCACAAGTCCCAAATTGACTGATTTTGTGTTTAGAAATCCTGTAATGTGGTCTTCCAAAATACTTCATTCAGTACCTTAAGATTCACCAGAGTTATTGTTTGCCTGGCTTGTAATATTGGGGCCTGTGCAATTTAGTCACAAAATGCATGTATTCTAAACTGCAAGTCTTGGAAAATAGAAACAAATTACAACTTATGGTCTGTTGGTTGTTGATACCTTAGTAACAGGTTTGTGCTCTGGCCCAGTGTTTGAAAGCTCTTGCTGTCCTGGCTGAAGGCCAGACTTCCCTTTCCCATATTGTGCTGCTCATAAAGTGTCTGCAACTCCAGTTTCAGAGGATTCAGTGCTCTCTTGTGTCTTCCACAGGCACCTGCATGTGAATGTGGAATATGAATATATATCATACTCAGATGTGTGGGCATATACACTGAATCTTAAAAATAAAACTTAAAAAGATACCTAGTTTGCCGGTATTTATTTAATTATGTCGTAGAATATCCTCTCCAAATTCTTAATTATTGGAACAAATGAAAACTGATATTTGACATATTTATATCAATGGAGTCATTATTGCTTCTGCTTTACTATTGGTCTTTTCTTTTTAAGTGGGATCCTATGATTACTACATTACCTGGCCTGTACCTGGTGTCAGTAGGAGTTGTCAAACCTGCCAGCTGGATCCTTGGATGGTCTGAACATGTTGTCTGTTCCATTGGAATGCTCAGATTTGTCAATCTTCTCTTCAGTGTTGGTAACTTCTATTTGCTGTATTTGCTTTTCAGAAAGGTACAGCCCAGAAATAAGGTATGTACAGAACAAAGTTATTGCAAGTTTCTGTGCAGAAAAGTTCACAATTATGAATTGGTTTTATAAGATATGGAGGAAAATGTCCAGCAGTTATTTTTTGTGTATGGTTTGTAAAGCTAATTGGAAGTTCTTTACTTATATGTATAATATGTATAAGGTATTTATATTTAAGTATGGGATAGCTTTATTTGAAAATCTAAAGTAGATGTTTTGTTTTTTGTTAGTGAACTAAACCACTTTAGTAATTATATGGTTTTGTTTTTGCTTTTGCTTTTTTTTTTTTTAATTAGATCTTTAGTGGAAATGAATTTTAGCTGAAGGAGTGATTTTATAATGCTAGTCTTGAAGGTAGATTGCCTGGGTTTAAATTCAGTCCTGGCCACTACTTACATTAACATGAGCAAATTATCCCTTATGTCTTTATCTGTTTAAAATAATTTAAATGAAATATCAGTAGTAATAGTATATTTTGCCTCATTGAATTTGTGTATTAAGAGTAAAGGAGCTTATTAATAAATGGAAGTTACCTAGGAAGCACCTAGTATAAGGTTTTAGCAAATGTTAACTATGACAGTAATATTTAATAGGGTCTTTTTATTAGTTTAAATTATGGAAAAGGGGTAAGGATACGGAACAGGAGCAGAGAAATACCGTTGTAGCCTGATGGAATGAAGGGGGAAAGAATGGGCTTTTCAAAGGCTTCATAAATGGCACCTGTGTTGAACCTTAATTGATGGATAAAACTAACAGATAAGAGGATAATCTTGACAAAAGCAGTATAAGCAAAGGGATTTACTGCTTAAAAATTATCATGCCTTTAATCCTAGCACTGGGGAGGCAGAGGCAGGTGGATCCCTGAGTTCCAGGCAAGCCTAGTCTTATGGAGCTAGTTCCAGGACAGGTTCCAAAACAATACAGAGAAACCCTGTCTTGAAAAAAATAAATAAATAAATAAATAAATAAAAATAAGGCTGAGTTTCAGTGATGGGAAGCAGGGGTGAAGCCATGAATGTATTTACCTGTGACAGAGTACTTTGATTTTTACAATTTTCTCCTTTAATAGTTTTAATTATATGATTGTAAATTACAGTTTCTGCTATTTATTATCTTATATAGAATGGTTTACAATACACAAGAATTTTGGAGGCAACAAGATGTGTCATATATGTGCCAAGTTTATGGGCTATTATAGAACTGTATTTATTTATTGCCACAGGGTCTCACTGTGTAGCCCTGGCTGGCCTGAAACTCTCGGTGCAGAGAGTGTCTTAGAACTCGGTGTCTTAGAACTCACAGAGCTTCAGCTGCCTCTGCTTTGCAAGTTCTGAGATTAAAGGTGTGTGTCACCACACTTGAGGAGGACTTTAATCAAAGGATTACCATGGTCTGACTTTGTGTGATAGAGTGAAGTGAGGATGTAGTTCAAAGAGATTGAGAACAATCATGTTCTGAAATTATCAAAAAAGCTAAAAGAAGACATTTGAGTTCAGAGTAGGTCTGAATTTTTTTTTATTTTTTAATTTTTTTAGGGAAAAATCATTATGATTTCATAATACAAAAAAGTAATTGTACATTATACAAAAAAACATTGGGCAGGCTAATTAGTACTGTTTGCACATTTCAATCTTCTCTAGTGTAGAAATTTGAGGGGCTATCCTTAAAGTGTTTGGTGAGATTGGCTAAAACCTAAGTTTAAGCTATCATAGCTGTGTTCATCTTTATGGTGCTCTGTTCATCTCTGTGTTCCCCATGTACCTTAGTCCAGTGTCTTATATCCTGTGACCCCTAAATGATTTGTTTAGTGATTCAAAAGATTATACGCTCTTAAAAGTTTTGCCTCATTAGTATTTTAATGTTTTCCAAGCTAATTAATGTAACTAAAAATTACCAAAAGTATTCTTATACGTGGTGTTGAAAAGCCAGAAATATGATTCATTTAAATTAAACTTCAGTGAGTTTTTAAATAAATCTCTTGATTAATTCAGCAGAAATGGCGTATTTATTTTACCTAAGAATAATTTTTTCTCTTTTGTTCAAGGCTTCTTCAAGTATCCAGAGAATCTTGTCAACATTAACCTTGGCACTATTTCCGACTCTCTATTTCTTTAACTTTCTTTATTATACAGAACCAGGGTCTGTGTTCTTCACTCTGTTTGCTTACTTGATGTGTCTTTATGGCAATCATAGGACTTCAGCCTTGCTTGGGTTTTGTGGCTTCATGTTTCGACAGACCAATATCATCTGGGCAGCTTTCTGTGCGGGACATATCATTGCACAGAAGTTCAGTGAAGCCTGGAAAACTGAGCTGCAGAAGAAGAAGGAAGAGAGGCTTCCCCCAATTAAGGGACCATTTTCAGAACTCAGAAGAGTTCTTCAGTTTCTCCTGGTATATTCCATGTCATTCAAGAACCTAAGTATGCTTTTCTTGTTGACCTGGCCCTACGTCATTCTGCTGGTTGCATTTTTTGTTTTTGTAGTAGTTAATGGTGGGATTGTTATTGGCGATCGGAGTAGTCATGAAGCCTGTCTTCATTTTCCCCAGTTATTCTACTTTTTCTCCTTTACTGTTTTTTTCTCCTTCCCTCACCTACTGTCTCCTACAAAAGTCAAGACTTTTCTTAGTTTAATATGGAAACGTAGAGTTCAGTTCTCTGTGATTATGTTAGTCTCAGTACTCTTGGTTTGGAAATTCACTTACGTCCATAAGTATTTACTGGCAGACAATAGGCATTACACATTTTACGTGTGGAAAAGAGTATTTCAGAGACATGAAGTTGTGAAATATTTATTAGTTCCAGCTTACATGTTTGCTGGTTGGGCCATAGCTGACTCTCTGAAATCAAAGTCAATTTTCTGGAATTTAATGTTTTTTGTATGCGTGGTCACTTCTACAGTTCCCCAGAAACTACTAGAATTCCGTTACTTCATTTTACCGTACATTATTTATAGGCTCAACATACCTCTGCCACCTGTATCCAGACTTGTTTGTGAACTGGGTTGCTATACAGTTGTTAATTTTCTAACTTTTTATATTTTCCTGAACAAGACTTTTCAGTGGCCAGATAATCAGGATGTTCAAAGGTTTATGTGGTAATGGCAGGAATAGTTTGAATTTTAAAAGTAGACTATTTCTACAACAAATAACTGGGTAAGTAGAAGTGGAATTCCTTTTAGGTAAATTCAGGGAAGTTGAATGAAAAGCATTAAGTTTGAGACCAGCCTGAACAATAGTTATAAAGTTGCTTACCGTTGTCTTGTGAAGCACTGGCACTGCCTGTGTCTCCAAAGTTTAGGAACTTTCCTGGGTGTGCACACATTGAGGGGATTTGGTAAGGTCGGAAGCACTAGAACCAATCTATAGATTTTCTTTTGTAAAGGATTTGAAAAATGTTTACAAGTGACCCAGCAGTATTTCTGAATAAAATGGACAGATATTGCAGTAAATATAACTCTATGGACTTACAGACATAGCAAATCATGAACTGGGGGCTTTGAGATGTTTACCTAGGAATCAAATTTCTAAATTTAAAATGCAGAAGTGATACAGCCATTTGAATTAATTCCTCATTTGATGTTTATACAGGCCAAAGATAGACTGTTAAATATAACATCTTTTATAAATGACCTTTCTGAAATACATTGTTCTTTAGTTACCTAGGGTTCCTGTACAAAAATTACCACATACCTTGTGACTTAAACCTTTCCCTCACATGCTTACAGGCAGCAGCACCTAGACTCACAGTGTTGCCAGAGCTCATTCCTTCAGGAGACTGGAGCCCACCGTCCCTGCTCAGCTCACTCCAGCAACTATTTGGTAGGGCCTAATATTTGGACAGTATCTTCCAGTCTTACTGTGTCTTCGTAGGGTTGTCTCCCCTGTCTTCTTATACAGACAATGTCTTTAGGGATCCTCTGATTCAGGGTGACTTTACCTGGGACTCTTTTATACCTGTAAAACTGTTTCACGTCAGGTCCCATTCACAGGTTCCAGGTACAGATCATTTTGTGATGGAGTGGAGATATAATAACATTTTAGGAGATGTCCTTGCTGAGAGCTTTTAAGTAAAACTTTGTCTTTAACTAAGAGAGTAAAAGCAAACAAAAAAAGATGTCAGAATTCATATAATTTAGATTTGTCCCTCTTTTCCAGTCAGGCCAGAAGAACTCAGAGGTGAGAAGTCATTGGTTTAGCTTTATTTTATAATTTAGGGATTTTTTTTTTTTTTTTTTTTGTCTTTTGGTTCTGTGCTTACTGTTTATTCATTTTATTAATTTGAATTTAATAAAATGAATTTATGCATTTTATTAATGAAAGTTTAACTGTCACTCCATTATAGACACACATACACTGTTGATTAGTTGCATGCTGTTTCTGTAAATCCAGAACTGTGAATAGAATTTACTTTTTAGTCCATTTTACTTTCTGTGTTTTACACATGTACACACACACACACACACACACATATCCACACCCACACACAGACCAAAAATTTTACTTTTGCTGTTGGATTATGTTTTCTTTGGGTTTTAAATATGAAGTAAATTTGTATGCAAGTTTAAAACCTACTGGATAAAGTAATACATGTAGTCTTGAGTGGTTAGTCAGGATAGACCACTTTGCTTGGCACTTAGAAGGTAAGTGACTCAAGTATAACAGTGATTGCATTGTAATCAGATCAGAAAGCACATTCCATTTCTGGTTTCATAATGGATTCATTATGAAAGAGAACTAAGTCCAGGAAGCTGAAATTACAAACAGATGCAGTTGAGTAAAGCAACTACTGTCTGCTACCCTTAGGCCAGCCAGGCCTTTTACATCTAGGAACACTGAGGAGATGGAGGAAGCACTTTGTTTCATGTGTGGCAGGAGACTGCTTTTAGAGGCCCTGCTCCCTTTCACTTGTTAAGTGTTGGATCACTTCTGAATTAGGAGGCATTGTAGAGGTCTACAGGGAGAGAAGGGGGTAGTCTATACCACTTTCCATAAAGTATTGAAAGTAGGACTTGGCATTTCAGAATGGAATGCCATGAATTAAAAGGTGCTTTTATTTTTCACTGTGATTCAAAAATGGATGTATATTGATTCTTTATAAGGTGGATACTTGGTTAAATTTTGCTGGGCAGTTGACAAGAATATGGTCATTTGCTGGTGAATTTCTCAATCTTTGTCACTAAATGAGTATGAGAGCAGGTGTCACCTTTGCTTGTTGAAAATTAACAGGCTCATCTCTGGGAAATCATTCCACTTGGAAAGAGCCTTGCTTTTATAATTACAAGTAATTATAAATTATATTCCTGAAAATGTTTTAAACTTTGTAAAGCATTGTCAAGTATTTCTATTTTTATTTAATTGAATTGGTTAATTAATAAGTGATTATTAATGAGCCACCCTTGCAGGGGACCCTAGTGTGTTTCCTAGCCCTTATTTACAACGGCCCACAACCCCTTTCAACTCCACATCTAGGGGACCATAGGACTGGCTTCTGCAGTCACCTGTACAGTCACTGCTCCCCCACATATATATAAATTAAAATTTCTCAAAGGTGATTATAGAAAATGTGCTACCTGCTGAAGGGCTTGTGGAGCCCTACAGTCTGTATCACTCCTCTCCCAATGGTATTATTTTAACTGTCTCATTAAAAGGCCTAGTCTTTTGCTTGAATCGCTTTAGGCTCTGTAATCATTTGACCAGTTCTACTTTACAAGAAAATCCATAGGCATAGACTTATTATTTTCAGATAGTAAGGGTTTGTGTGTAATCTATTCTGCTCACATTTAAACTTTCCGTGGGTGCTCCTTTTATGACTGTGTCTCACTAAATGATGTGGAAATAGTGTTCTTTACATAACATGTTCTAGTTCATAATATTATAAGAGGAATTATTGTTCTCTGTGTTTATCCTGTTATAAAATATCTGCTATAAACTAATGTAATATATTTCTAGTGAGTAGTTTAGGATATAATGTATTTCTAGTGTGAACTTAGGATATAATGTATTTCTAGTGTGAACTTACCTGACTTGACATTATGCTCATCATAATTGTCTAGAGAGAAGAGATCCACAGATTTAATGTAGAATTCATAAAAAGTGAACATATAATTTAGGCCCAGTTCAAAGCTATTCAGATAAAGAGAGTATAGATCACCGTTATCTTTGAAGCAGTTAGAACATCTTTAAATGGTTAAAACAAGTGTACATAATACTTTACGTAGAGGAAATTAAAATCAGATTGTAGTTGTTCTTGATTTTGATTCCAGAATAAAAAGACAAATTGTTGATGGACAGTTATTATATTCCTAATCACAAATGAGAATGTTATGTCTGAACTCTAGTTAGTATCTGATGTGTGTCTTACCCATTTCAATGAGGATTCATGTCCTTTACATATCCATAAAGCTCATAAACACATATGTTATATGTTGGGTAAATATATATTGTAGCAAATGGAGTTTTCGGCATAGAAGAAAGCAGATATCTTAGAAAAGTACTGTATTATCAACTTAATCTTAGGAAGGATTGTTTTTATAGTGAGAGCCACCCTGACCCCTCTTCTGCCTGTTTTCTGGGTGTTATTTTTGGTGGTGTTTAGTGCAAATTTGCACATTTAATTGTTTATGTGCTGCCTGCACTAGGATATGACTTTAATATTATTTTAAATGCAAAGTCATCTCAATAATTATAATAGAAGTTTTGATACTTTAATCATGAAATTTCAACCAGTTAGAAACATCTGATATTCAGCTGTTTTTTTATGTGTTTGAATTCGATGGCTGTATGTTGTTGAGAAATGTATAATAGATTAGATGTTGATGACATATTTTTATTATACCCATGAATCCAGCACTAAATTCCATGATGCTTGGAATTTATTTCTAAAGTAAGTTTTGTGATAATTTGGCAATCTGATAATATCATTATTTTAAAATGAGATTGATCTGTGGTAATTTCTTTGTTCCTTAGGCACTGTTAAACCAAAGGTAGTTAGGGTATATTTTTTTTAAAAAAATACTAAATTTTATATTGAATTTGCATTTGGAAATTTGATCAGTTCAGTTTATTTGAACCATATGTTTACCATTGTTCAAGATGAGTAAGAATGAAAAGAATTGGAGAGTCATCTTCATCTGTTGCTTGTTGACATCAATCTATTGTCTCCTACATACCCATCTATATGCTTTCTCACTTGACCCCACTCACATGCCTATGATGTAATGCTGATTTCTTTTTGACTGGTAGAGAAGCTGAACGCCAGCATCCCTGGTGATTATCCTAAGTCCATTTGTTTTGTAATTTAAAGATGTGAGTTTTTGCTGTTCTGCCTCACTGTCAAAGTTCATTAAGAGAAAACATGGAGGGAGGTCTCCACTCTACTTAGTCAGACCCCTTAGGGCATATTACTGTACAACTTATATGTTGCTAAAAATGTTAGAAGCTTTTTAAAGGAGTGCAAATAAAATGATAAATGCTTAAATGCTTTTGTTACAAGTCAAATTGTTAAAAAAAAAAAAAAAAAAAAAAAAAAACCTCACTGTTCAACTTTGAAAAACAGCTCCTATAAGTTAAGTTGTTATCGTTATCTGAAACCATTCACCATTCTCCATTACTTTAAATGTAAATCAGTGGGCAACAAAAAGGTTTCAGCTCACAAGAAAAACAACTTTTGTTTTTAATTACTTGGTCTCTTCAGGGGTAGTGAGCTCCCCAAATAAGTTTTGTATTTACTAAAACATTTCATCAGGAAAGCCACAGTGACTTGAGAGGGTAGATATGGTATAGTACCTTTGCCAGGTGTCTCACAACCTGCCATTTTAGACCTGTGTTTATTGAAGCTGATATCTTTATGTTCTTTGGTAAGATATGTTCAGGTATTTCTTGAAGTAGTCTGCCTTTGATAGATTTTGTTTCAGAATTAAAATGGACTTTAAATTCTTGTTACCCTAGTTTTGAAACAAATTTGGATTATACAACCTAGCCAAAGGTGATAAAATACTTCAGTGTACCAGTAATACAGTATTTATCTTACATACATTTATATTCCTTTGTTAGTGAAAAATGTGTATGTTTCCCTGTAGTGATAAATAGAAAATTACTGTTTGTAAAAATTTTTAATGAAGTGTTTACCAGGTGATGACATTGTGCTACATTTTGAAGTGTTCTTGTAATTTAACTTTTTTATTAGTCTAAATTAAACTTTTTATAGTTTTGTATTGTTTTGAACCATAAAGATTTATAATTATCCACCTTTGTTTACTATTGTTGTTTGTATTTTAGGAAGGATCTCATAATCCAGGCTGGCCTAGAACTTGCAGTGTAGCCAAGAATGATCTTGATTTTTTTGCCTCTACCTCTGGTCTGCTGGGATTATAGGCATGCTGCACCAGGCCTAGTTTATACAGTTCTAGGGATCAAACATAGGACTTCAAGCATGCTAGGCAAGTACTCTACTAGCTGAGCTGTATCCTTGGCCCTGCTCATTATACTGTGATTGAAAATGTGTCCCAGGTTACATGAAGTGAAGGTAAATGTAAAAACAAAAGTCATTTGTTCCATAGTTATGTCTCAGATGATGTAACTAAAAACTGCTATGGAATTGTTTACCTCCTAGATTTTAGGATTGTTTCTAGTAGTGGTGTTGCCTTTGGAAACTCAGCGGTACTGGCTACTGCTGCCAGTGCTCCCCTGGCTCACTTACTGTATCTCAGTTCTCTAGTGTTAACTCTACTCACACATGGAGAAACTACAGAGAGATTATTTGTCCAGTGTGACACTAGCTCCGTTTAGTTTAGGCTTACGAATAGGCAGCCTAAACAGAACCCCATGCTCGTAATTGTGGTTGTTTGGGGGGAATGGG